CAACTTAGGGGGGATTTCAAGACATAGCTTAACTAACAAAAAACCAACTACCCAAAACACGCCGTGCCCCAGGGCCGGCGGAGTAGCACTTAGTAGACGTATCTGGAGTTCACTGAAACTCAGAACCTACCTTCCCCCTTCCTGACGTGCTGCGACAGCGTCCTAGGACAGCAACGGCATCCTGAATGTGGGCGCCGAAGACAAGGGTACTGGCAAGAGCGAGAAGATCACGATCACAAACGACAAAGGCCGGTTGACCGAGGAGCAGATCGAGAAGATGATCCGCGAGGCAGAGGAGTTTGCCGATGAGGACAAGAAGGCGCGGCAGCCAGGGTTTAAGACGGAGAAGATCATCCATGTGCCACCATTGGTTGAAACATGTGGAAACTGCCTCACTGACTGAGCTTTGTGAACCACAGTATCAGTGTAAATCTCTCCCTGCCAGCCAGGCACGTCTTTTTTGTTGGAGATTCTTCCTCACCCCGGGACCCTCCGGAACCGAACGCCGCTCCCCCTCTCGCACTCTCGCACCGTTCCGTGGCCCCGCCCGTTCGCACCGTCTGGCGGCCCCAGGTCAAGGAGCGCGTGGACGCGAAGAACGCCTTCGACGGCTACATCCACTCCATGCGCTCCGCCACTGAGGGCTCGGGCGACAACAAGGGATTGAGCGAGAAGATGGACTCGGAGACTTGGGACGGATGTTGGAGAGGGAGATCGAAAGCGATATGTTTGGGGTGTATGATTGGTGGAGACGTTGGGGTAAGCTTGGTGGATTTTGTTGATGTTGCATGGTTGGGATTGTTGGTTGGGTGGTTGATTGGTTGGATGAAGATGATGAAGGTTCAAGAAAGTTCAAGATGGTTCAAGGTGCTTTGTGCTTGCCCCCCAGATTTCAAGGGCTCGCACTGTCACACACTCTAAGCCTCTAAGCGAGTAAACACATAAGACAACACCCACGACAAGCCTGGGTTGCAACATCAAATCTTTGTCGTTCATGGTTTCCCGAGCACCCAGGAATGGTTGTTGGGTGAACACAGCGGGTCAACTCCGCAGAATAGTGGAAATACATGGAAATACCGCGCTCGGCGCCACAGGTTGATTTGGGGTCAGTGCAACGAAGACTCTGTTTTGCAGATGAGACGTGACTATTCTAGTCATGACTTTGGAGTTTAGTTTTATGTACTGAGAACGGTTTGACGGTACGGTGACAAAGGGTGTTTCAGAAGAAGATGGGTTGGAAGCCACGGATGGATGGCCTTAGCTGGCTGGCTGGCTGGCTGTCTGGCTGGCTGGTTGGTTGGTTGGTTGGTTGGTTGGCTGGTTGGCGAGAGAGTGTGCGTGTGTGTCACCCCCCTGTACCAAAGGGTTCTATGCCACTGACTTCCATTACAACCACTCAACGAGGCAGGGGGATCAGGCTTCCAGTGACTAACCTGATCCAACGAAGCTGGGTCACTGGAAGGGAAGTGGTTGAGGACGCTCAACCATGTACCTGAATCGTGATACAACTCCACTCTTCGCCGCTTTTCTTTGTTTCCATGGTGGTTTTCATGCTATTTTTCCCCAAACAGGTTTCCACCGCTCGTGAGCTGCCGCCGAGTCACTGCAGATGCGCATCAACACTTGTTCAACAATACTGTTCTGCGGACCCATGCACCTTTCTGTTCCTTCACCGTCCTTCTCAGCTTGTAACTGAAAACCAATGTCAGAGTGTGTGCCCCTTGTAGTCACCGGGATTCTTTTGAATTGTTTTTACTCAGCAGGGGAGTGCGGCGTGATTGTGGGACCGCACTCAACGAAGCTACCACAATCACGGGATACCGAGTCTGATCAACTCGGCGTACCTGCAAGTTTTAACCTTTGGTAAAGGGCTAATGCATCTGCAGATGTGAGCGGCCGTCGTCACCCTGTCGTTTCGACTACGACTTGCGCGTTTGGCCCCACTTCCTCTTGAAGACCCCAGGCTCTTTAGGACTTTCCTGGACCTTTCAGGATTTGGGTTTCTTAGGCTGGCGTGTGGCACCGCTGTCAAGTCAGTACGCATATTATCCATAAGTGTGTTTGGCTTCGTGCCAACCCGGGATGAGCCCGCAGAGTGCCTCCCGTGGACCCGCCCGGCTTTGGGAACGTAGATGTCCGGAGCGGACAGCAGATGGCTCACGCCACAAGAACTGGGATGTTTGTCTCATTTTGGGAATTCCAAGTTGGCTCATGCTTTTACGTGACCGCAGCGGTCAAAGCAGCCAGCCATTTCGGCAGGGCACAAGGTGACCAGAGCGGTCAAAGCAAGTTTAAGGTTCATTTGGAACCTGTCGCGAGCTTAGTCCCCCCCCCCTTCCCCTTCCCCTCCCCCTTTCTTTCTTTGCTTTTTGGTGCTTTCCTGAATGGAATACTCAGGATCACACCTTTCTTTCTGTGGTGTGTCCCTGGACGATTGTTCGTAGCTGAGAACGCTTGCCTTTTTTCTTTTCTCTCCTCTCCCTTTCTCTCCCTCTCTCTTTCTTTCTCTTTCTTTCCTCTCTTCACCTTCCTTCCTCCTTGGGTGTCCCTGGATGCTTTTGTCATAGCTGGGAGCCCTTCTCCTCTTTTCCTTTGGTGTGTCCTTGGACGCATACGTCGTAGCTGGGAACATCTTCCTTTCCTCTCTTTCCTTTTTCTCGTCTCTCCCTACCCCTCCCTCCTGTCGGGACCTTAGCTTGGGTTGCTACTAGGGGCTCCTGGCCTTCCTACGTGCTAGGTTGCTACTTTGACGCTACTAGAGGTTCCTGGCCTTACTACTACTTGGTCCGCGCCTTCAAGTCGCCTCCCCTTGGGGAGGCGTGTGTGTGTGTGCCCCTTGTAGTCACCGGGATTCTTTTGAATTGTTTTTACTCAGCAGGGGAGTGCGGCGTGATTGTGGGACCGCACTCAACGAAGCTACCACAATCACGGGATACCGAGTCTGATCAACTCGGCGTACCTGCAAGTTTTAACCTTTGGTAAAGGGCTAATGCATCTGCAGATGTGAGCGGCCGTCGTCACCCTGTCGTTTCGACTACGACTTGCGCGTTTGGCCCCACTTCCTCTTGAAGACCCCAGGCTCTTTAGGACTTTCCTGGACCTTTCAGGATTTGGGTTTCTTAGGCTGGCGTGTGGCACCGCTGTCAAGTCAGTGCGCATATCCATAAGTGTGTGCTATTTTCACGCTTGGAGAAGGAAGGATCAAGAATCACAGACCCCATGCGGTGTGGCCCATTTCAACTTCTTAGGGGAAGTATATAATATACTTTCAACTATATAGTAGTGGGCCCAATGCAGATGGGAATGATGATGATGATGATGGTGATGGTGATGACGAAGACGATGACGATGACGATGACGATGGTGATAATGATGTTGATGATGATGATTATGCTGCTGCTGCTGCTGCTGTTGCTGCTGCTGATGATGATGATGATAATGATGATGATAGAAAAAGGGTTAGGCGTAGGGTTAGGCGAGGGTTTGCAACTCTCAAGACATCTCGCATGTTTGGTCAGACCTGTCAAGCCTGGGCCGGGTGTGTCGAGTCCTGGCAGCGCTGCTAGGACGAGAAGGAAAAGATCCTAGATGCCTTGAAGGATGGGCAATCCTGGCTTGACTCTAACCCAGAGGCCGATGCTGAGGAAATCAAGGAGAAGCATAAGGACCGGAAGAAGGTGGAACATAATCAATTTTTTTGGTTAGTTTCTCTTTTTGAAAGACACAAAGTCACTGTGAACAATTAGAAATGACCACTTCACTTCACGATTTCACATGACATGTTGTTGTCCTTCAAAGTGACCACTTTGAAGGGGTCTCCAGGCATCTTCTGCGTGTCTTGAGGAGATTGAAGGAATTTGCGCTCCCATTGTGTCCAAGTACTATGGTGGCGGTGGAGCCGGTGGCGGAGGTGGTGGTGATGATGATGAGGAGGAGGCTCATGATGAGCTGTAAAGAAGAGGAGGCTCATGACGAGATCAGCCGAATGAGATGTTTTGGGTGGGCGAAGCAACAAAATCCTGCCGACCCAAAGAAGAAAACAGACACAGCCCTGCAGATGATGCGCGAGTCCATTCATCGATGAATTCGATGTTATTTGCAGTTTGTGCATCAGCACATTGCTAGAGACCTGGGCATCGCCCATCAAGCTCACCAGCTTTCAGCTTTCGCTGAAAACGATGGTCTTGACGAACGTGCGGAACGTGCGTGTCGTGCGGATCGGCTTTGATGTGTTTTCGTGCGGGTTTGTTGGGTTCCCCATGCCTCCCAGATTCGGTTCGGGTGACATCCTCCCAGATTTGGAATGATCCAGAGTCCTACCCTTTAACATCCTTTAACTCTTTTAGGGGGGGATTGGCAATGGTTTCAATTTTGTTTCCCCACTAAACATGAACATATGGATTGTAGGATGACAAAGGTTAACCATTTTTTCAAGGGACACTGAAGGAATCAGAGAGTGGTGCGGATGTTCCTTTGGCTCGGGCAGACGTGAACGACGCGCTGCATACGTTACGGAGCTGTCGTCACACCCGCTGCTCGGTGATGAAGAAGAACTCGATGCCCTTTTTGGTGAACCGTTCCCTTCGGAGCTTCTTCCGTTGAAAAGTGAAGAAGAAAAGCAGCCGGCGGTTGGCTGGTCTCCCTTGTAATTCATTAGATGATTCACACCCGTGCAAAAGACCCAAGAAAACCTCGTAGAAGACCCAGAGTATCAGTGTCAGGGTCCATTGATGGTCCTTTGGTATCGCGGGATCCTACATATCGCAGACACTCCATGGGACTGGTAGGCCTAGGCCTCCTCAATCACACTTCAGACCTTCATACATCGATTCTTATGCATCGATACCCACGTCTTCTGATGAGTCTTAGAGGCTCAACAGGATCAATCTCGATATGAAAGCGTGTATTTCAATATATGGCTTTCTGCACTTCATTGACAGTCAAGTGGCACATTGCAAATCTTTCCTTCCCTGCAAATGACTTGCTCATGATCTTGCCAGGCCATCGGGGGACACTGGATCTCTTCAGGAGACGCCCAGACGCTCAGACGCTGGGTTTCACATGATGATCACATGTTTCTGTGCTAAGACAAAGCATGTCTACCCACTATAGCAGTAGGTGACCTTTTGGTAGCACCACCTGGAGTACTTCTCCATCCAACAACACCGATGGTCAACGGCCCGACCGCCGACCCGAACGTCCGGTCGTTGGAGTTCCGGAATTCGCCGGAATTCGCCGTGGTGAAGATCGGAAGTGAAGTGATGTCTCCAACTCGGACTTCAAATCATTGGGAAAAAAAAGCGCAAAGTCCAAAGCAATTGCTTCAGATAACTGGTGTAGAAAGGAATGACTTGAAGTTTGCATGTCAAATGTCTAGTTGTTGGTCTGCTTGGGAGGCCTCCGGCCTGGTCTTGTTCCCCCCCATGGGACTGGTCAAGCAGTTCCGGCACTTGTGGCGGATGGATCCAAAGTGCCCGATGGTCGTCCACCAGGTAGGTTGACCACCCCAAACATGAAACTTCAGAGAGGAGATGACTTAACTTAATAAACCGCCGGAGCCTGAGATGTCATGTAGACTCGACATCTATCTACCTTTGGTCAACCAATTTATCCCTGATTTGATCCAGAGCCATTTGACCCGAGATCGATCACTGGAGCCTTCCTTTAGCGTTCTTCCTGCTTCGCCAGCGAGACGCTAGGAGACGGCTCCGGCGGCAAAAGCTCACCAGCTCCGGCGCAGAGGCGTGGTGAGAGAGGCGACAGCTGGAGTTCGGTGGATCTGCAGGTCACCTTGTTTGGGGGAGATAAGAGGACCAGATCTCTATGACTCTATGATCTAGTGATCAACAGGTGGCCCCTTGTTTGGGTGATCACGTGGGTCCCCTTGTTTGGGAAAGAAGAACAGGTGGCCTACGTGATCTCGATATTTGTGTTGTATCGAGCGGACCAGAGTGTCCAGTGTCCACCGCATCCTGGATGTATGCGTGCATGGTGAACAGGTGGACAGTCGGTCTTTTCCAGGGAGGCAGGCTGGGGAAGGGGGATGAATGGGCATCATACTGCGTGACCAAGGTTTTTTGGGCACCGATGCGGGCGTTTTCTGGAGGAAAGCTGTCTCGGTGTGACTGTCCCGCATTCTCGTGGTCACGCAGAAAAGCTGTAGTATAGAGATTCATTACATGGGTGTGTATGATAATAGGGAGACCTCCCAGGCAACGACCCCCTGAAAGAAGGGACTTAGACCAGTCGGCCCAGCCAGGGGCGAGAAAGAGGGTATCCCGGATTGGAAATACACACCCACATCAGTAATGCTTGGTTGCTCCGAGTGGAGCTTCAGCCAGTGCCGTGGACATTTTGGGCTGTGGAGCTTCAGAGGTGTTTCATCTCGTGCGAAAGCGATCCTGCTGGGGAAGAGCCTACTTTCGGTCGGCGAGCATGGACCAGCGACCAACTACGTGGCACCAATTCATCACGTTGGCCACGTTCACGTGTATTACGCAGTCCATGCAGAATGAAGTGCAGTGCACACTGAGAGATAGTCAGTCTTAGACAGGTGTGGTTGCTTTTCAGCGTCTCCCACGCCTCATGGACACAACATTCCCTCCCTCTCAAGAAAGAAGCAATTCGATCCACCAGCCAGTCACAATTCTGGGGATGATCTTCAAAATGACATGGAGACCTCAACAGGTTCAAGAAGTCAGGCACTAGTGTACCATGCCGAGTCCGCTCGACGGAAGGTCCGCGCCGTGTCTTTGAAACGAGCGGACGCCGTGTGTCGCAGCGCGGAGATCCGCCTTCCCGGTCCGCAGATGGTAGGTGAAGGCCAGAGGCCGGAGGAAGGTGACGAAGGTGACGGCTACGGCAAGGAGGGCGAAGGCACGGCACGACCCGTTTGGTTCAACAACGATGGAAATGGTGAGACAGGTGAGACGGGATGGAAATGGTTCGCACAACAGAGCGATATCGTATAATATATAATATAATTGGAAGGATCAGGTTCCCATGCAGTACTGATGCTTGTTTGTGAATCTGATCGCTCAGTAATTGTTTACCATGAAATGACGTTGAGGTTTACCTGATCATGGTACTGAGTACTGCGCAATCAGTTTACAGTGTTGTTTCTGTTTGGGGTACCAAGGCCCTCCACGAACTGTAGATGGACCGAACGGACCTTTACACTCCAAGGGCCAGGCCATCCACTTCCAAAACCCCGCCGTTCGGAGTAAAGCAGGTGAAAGGCCCCTGGAAAGGACCTTTGCATGGAACACTCACGACCTTTGGGCCGTGCAATCACATAAACATGCATAGACTATATCACATAACATGATATGATATATATATATACTGTATATAACAGTCACTATAATATATTATATTATATTGTATTTCTATTACAATTAATATTGGAAGATCGATACATATTTTGTATGTAACATGGGACATATCATATGAGCCACAACTTGTGGGAACTATGTGAAAACACCGGCACCCATCATGGTGAACCCCAAAGTGGGGTATAGACTACATGATTGACCGTTATATACAGAATCCTGCTGAAAGGACAATGTCCTTTTCACTAAACACCGTACTTTGAGCAGTTTCACGGTGTCTCTCCCATGGTTCCCTTTTCCAGGCAAAGAAAGGCAGCGTGCCGCTGTGGAAGCTGCGCAAGGTGTGGAGTCCGAACGCGACGAAGAGTGGCGACCGTACGAGAAGTCGTCAGGATCCCATGACTGAGGATACACGTGGTTCGGCGTTTGTTCATGAGGCCGGATCAACTCCCGCATCCAGGAAGGGTTTAGGGATATTTCTTCAATCGAGATCATGTTTGGTGTTTCGGCACTTGGAGATGTTCATGATAGTGGCCCATAGTGGCACTTGACAATTGGAAGCAGAGAACAAGTGGCATGTAAAAAAGGCAAGATCAAGGCTTACAATCGATACACACTCTGTTAGATCGACCAAGATTATTGACGAGGGCTCCATGGGTGGGTTTTTGCATTTTTCTGAGTGCTTTCTTATGCTCGACCACTGACCCAACAAACCATCAAAAAAACTGTTTTGCCCTAGAACAAAAAACTGGAAGGAGCCTTAATTAAATGAATTGTTTGTTTCGCGTTTTCGCCAATGCGCGCCACATGACGAGCCCCAGGAAGTGGGGAAAGCTCTAGCAGCTCCCATGACGAAGGCCGAAGCGTCCACAACGGATTCGGTTCACCAGACCGTGGTGAGGGTTCTGGACCTTCTTCCTTTTTTTGGGATTCTACTAGTAGCTTCTAGCTACTAATAGCGGTGCCCTTGTTCCCAGTAGCTTCTTGTTACTAGTAGTAAGGCCAGGAGCCCCTAGGTAGCGTCCTTGCTCCTAGTAGCCCTTTGTTACAGTGTATGTCTTGTTTGTGGAAGACACATGCCAGGGGTTCAACTTGTAAGGTGTCCCATTCGCCCCGACTCGCCTACAACGCCTGGTCTCCACCACGTCATCACGATAAAACTTCTTCTGCTGCACAGCAGAAATGGTGACCTGAAGACTGGAAATACCACAGAAGTGTCTTCAGTAACAGTACTGAATTGATCTCCAGTACTGTAAGTCTTGTGGATCTTCTTGCGTTACTGAATTGCCAGTAGCAAATAGTAGCAACAAAAACACTTCAAATGTGTTGCTGAATTCCCAAAGGGATCATGTCACAACCATTGGAACCATGTGGCACGCCTGACTTTCGGAACATCGACTGTGGGCGTCGGCGTACTGTAAGTTGCCTTGTGACCTATATAGTGCTTATTAGTGCTATTAGATGCTATTAGTGCCTCTTGCTGTGTTTAAGGTTGCTTGGTTGATGAGTGGACCAAGTTTGCTCATGTGGTCCAGCACTCTCCGAATCGGAGGTCCTTTAGGCTCCGATTCGGACAGTCTCTGAAAGTACCTTTCACCTCCTTTCGACCCTCCCGTAACGTTCGACCGTCCTGGACCCTATGGGAGGCCTTGCCGCCTTGCCCATCAACCCAAACACCGCAGTCCAATGTGCCATCGCGGCGGTTGAGGTGATCGCGCGGCCGGTCACCAGAAAAGCGAAGCTCGCGGCCGGGCAGAGGGCAGCCCTAGCAGAGAAGGTGCAGGTCGGGTATGGAAGGGGAGGTTATTGGGACCGGCAGTTTTTCGGGTTTGCACTGGCTCCCAGGGAGTTCAGCCCGCAGGTGTGAAAAGTGCCCGGTCGGAGGAAAAACCCGAAAAAACAACGATTTCTTTGCTCTTTTCCCTCTGCAGTACGTAAATCCTTTGCCAGTGCCTAGGACTTGACATCGAGTTTAGATGAGTTTGTAATATATATTATATATAGTTTATAGTCAGTATTTGTTGATAGAGAGCCTTACGATCTCGCGAATGAATTTTGAGGTCAATGTCCACATGATCCAAGCCAGTCAATTGTTCGGCCCTGCTAAGACTTGGAAGATGACTTTTCAATCGAGCAAACTCATCCAAATGTTCTTGCCAGGATGAACACACGCCGCATGTTCTTGTGCCAAACATGAAAGTTGTCTCAATCTGAGGTTGATTTTTACTGGTGAATCAAAGATAGTCGCGTGTCATGGCATGTCGTCAGACGTTGTTTCACCGCGCCTCCTCGTGGGGTCTTTGTATTTGATAGTCTTGCTTTGATATATAAAGCTTTGTGTGTTGCTTTGATATGTGTGTATGGCGAGACGGAGTGCCAGCTTTGTTTTTTGTTCGCGGTCAATCACAGACTCAAGCCTTTGAGCCACATTTGTTCCCACGGGGAAACCTCCCGCGCTCCTCGCATTTGACATGGCCTTGGTCGAGCCAAAGAAGGTTACAGGTGGTGCTTTTGGGCAGTTCTTAGCCGAGAAGCGCTCGGAGCTACAGAAGGAGCTTCAAGGAAAGCCTGTGACGGAGATTACGAAGCTGGCCTCGGCCAAGTTTAAGGCTTTGAGTGAAGAGGAGCGAGCCATCTATCAGGAGAAGTACGTGACTGCCAAGGCCAAGTATGAAGCGGACCTAAAGGCATTCGAGGAAGCCGGAGGCGAGAAGAAGCAGCGCAAAGCTAAGGGCAAGAAGGATGGCAAGAAGAAGAAAGACCCAGATGCCCCGAAGCGCCCTGCTGGAGGTGCTTATGGTTGCTTCCTGGCCAAGCACCGCGCGGCTTTCCAAAAGGAGACCCCTGGTCAACCAATCACCGCAGTGACCAAGCTGGCATCTGCCAAGTGGAGTGCGCTGAGTGTAGAAGAGAAGAAGATCTATGAGGATGAATACAAGGCCAAGAAGGAAGCCTATGACGAAGCCATGAAGTCCTACGTGCCCGTGCCGCGTGAGGGTGCTGAAGAGCCAGCAGCAAAGAAGCCACGTGTGTCGGAGGCCAAGGCGATGGAAAAGGAAGCCAAGGCAAAGGCTGCAGCCGATGCCCCAAAACGCGCGCGCGGCCGCCCAAGGGCAGAGGGAGTGGCAAAGGCCAAGGCGGTGAAAGCCAAGGCACCCAAGGGCGAAGAGGTGGAGCTGCAGGCGACGGTCTTCGCAAAGGCTGAGAAGGTTGGCATGTCCGAAGCCTTGAGGAAGTTGGCCAACCGCGAGGATATCAAAGCCAGTGGGAAGAGTCAAAGTGCCATGCTCAAGGCTTTGGAGGAGAATCGTGGACTCGTGCACCCTGCCAAGCGAGCACTCTTGGGTGCGTGAGCGACCGATTTGGGGGATGGCAATCGCAGATTGAAGAGTCAGCCGCCATGCGGGGCGAATGGCGAATGCCACGGCGAGCTGGAGATTCATTGAGAGCGATTGCCAGTTTGCTAATTGAACAGGTTGACCGCAGCTACATGCAGGAAAGATAGCTTGTGGCAGCTGGCGTGTGTTTCGAGCATTTGATGAAAGGTTGAAAAAAGTATGAAGCCCATTCATGCATGTGATTGAGCTACACACCGTGGTGTTTGGAAGTCGACCACCGTGCGGTTTGGTCTTTGATGATGCCAGGTAGCTGAACCTGCCGGAAGCCAGGGTGCTTTACCACCAGTTCTGCCTGAGGCTGGAGAGTTCTCACAAAAACTGATTGGTGATGAGTATCCATAATAGTTAGGGTATCATTCCCTTATTCTCCCAAAACCAATCATCTCCGAGAGGCTGTAACAGTGCGTATTTGTTCCAGCTCAAGGGTTGGTAGGCCACTAAATTTGGGAGATGGCCGTTTAACACGCTTCGTTGGTTGATTCATAGAGAGGATACCCCGATACCCCAAGGTGATAGTCAGCTGTACAGCCAGGGCTGGGCGGTGCGGATGAGGACGGTCCTAGGCTTGATGGATGCCGGAGGCCATCATGTGGCCCGATGCCTTGGGAATATTTGGAATTCGTTTATTTTAGTTCAAGGTTTTATCTTCAGAAAGAACAGCCATGTGTCAGCCAATTGCTTTGGTTTGTTGCACAAGAGATGATTTCTGGGAGGAAGCAACGCGGCTTGCTCCTGGCAAAGAACCGCCTATGCGCATGATCCTGGCCAAGGAGGATGCCATGAAGACTAGCAGGGTGGTCATGCCTTTGTGCGATTCCTAGCAGACTGTTTTTCATAGGCCTGGGCCTGGGCAGATTGGGTAGTTGTGCTTGGATGTTTGACACTTTCTATGAGACTGGTTGAGCTGGATGTTGATGGATCCTCTCAATCTCGGGCTGTGGCCACTGTGAAGCCATTGGCCCCCAAAAGAACGGGAGTATCAAGAACTAGGTGAATCATCCGGGATGACAAAATTCGTCATGTACTTCCACAGTCCCATGGGCTAAACTTACATTCCCGAAAACTAACATAGACCCTGACAATGGGCCCATGGAAGACTATTTTCCTCTACCAACCAGGGGTTTTCAGGTTCCATGTTAGTCTTCCAGGGTGTAGGAAGCATCCTTATTCACTTGTGACTTGTTGGGAATATTTCCAGAAGCATCCCTTCTGGAAGGGTCGCCTGGGTGACGGGTTGCCCAACAAAACACGTTGATCCTGCGCCGGAAAGACCATTGATCTCAGGATCCCACCACTCCCAGTGCCTCAGCCTCCTCAGGCACTGAGTCGAGTGAAGCTGGTTGGAAGATGGGTTGGCTATCCCACTAAAAATCCCGGTCGTTACATGGGGAACCACCAGAATCGGATGCCACCACTCCCTGAGTCTTTGGAATGAGACTCGATACCTTTGGGTCTCGTGGATGCGTGGATCTGACCGACATTATCTATCTGACTGACGCTGCCTGGGGACGTGCTTTCTTGCAGCTCATGGAGGTGCACCATTTCAGCTCTTGTTGGTGCTGCGATGGCCATGGGGGGGGGGACTCACTGGGCCACAGACCACGGCTACTGGGGGACTCAACTCCTGCAGGACGTAGAAGTTCTATGAAGTTCTATCCGTTTACCCCTCACGGATCTTTGAACAAGCACAGACTGTCGCAGACTTCTTTACTTTATGCCCAACCATTGTTGAACTTTCTGCAATGCTTCAAACTCAAAACCAAACATTGTTGTTGGCTTCCTGATTCTTGTGGTGCCTAATTGAATGAAGCGTTGCTGTTCACTGCCGCAGGCTCCGGCCGCTGAGGGGAAGTGCAGCGAAGGCGGCTTCGAGTAGACCAGACACATAAAATGTAGCTATGTGATGCTATGTGTATCAATACTTGATGCTTAGTCTCAGTGATGAGTGATGGTGTATGGAGTGTTGGTGTGCACACCACACAAGGGTGCAGTGCTAGTACTGTGAAGTTGGAATAGATGAACTTAATTGCACCACATGCTTTACCAACTGTTGATAGTGAAGTTGGAGATGCTAGGATCTCTGGATTTTATAATCCTATTTGCCCGTTTGATCCCTCTTTCTGGTGAGCTGCAAAAGATTGATGGCGGTTGCAACCTGACTGGCAAGGCTTTGGTAGGGCCTTTGTGCCTTTTTGTTGGTTCATGTCATTATTGAGGAAAGAGGATTGATGATATTGATGGACAAGTCTGTACATCACTCACTCTAGATACAACTATACAATGATCGATATCTATATAATATCTATAAGATTTTATAAGTATAGTTATATAAATAAATAAATAAATATATATATACACCTCTTTGGGGTGGATTTTGTCCTATCATTGCAAATATCAAGTCACAAAAAGGGAGATGCCCAAATGCTGCAGAAAGTCTTCCCAAGCAAAAACTGTGTGGTACATGTAGGGTGACTGTCTTGAAATTCAGTCTCTGGAAGAACCCTCCAAACAGCTTGAGCAACCACGGAGCTCCAAAGCGCCGATCCCAACGGCTCCAAAGCGCTCCAGGCGACAGCGACGATGATCTGCCGCTGTCTGACCTGGTCGAAAAGAGGTCGACCTTGGCATCGTTGCGGCCGTAAGGGCCCAAGACGAGTGTTCAACCAAACGCACCAAACGTATCCATTTAAGAGTGAAGGACCAGCTTGAAGGACCAAAGAGTCATCCTAAGAGAATCGTGGCATATGATGGCATTGTCAACATCAAAGAGTTGTTGTTTAATTAGACAAATGCTTTGTCCTCCTTGAATTTGGAGATCTACTCACCACCCCCCCCCAAAAAAGGCCACCGGTCACCACTTTGGGGTGTTTGGAAGAGGACATTCAGTTTCTTTACTTCTCGTTGTGCGGGGTGGGACTTGGGACTAATGAAGGTATCACATGTCAAAAGATAGTTTATATATATATATATAGTTATGTATATTGTAAAATGCAGACCCCCAAATAATCCCAAATAGACTTAACACCTAGATCCCCACAATAGAAAATGCATTGGTTTCACCGTGTATTTGTGACGTCTTTGGACTCCCAGCTGTCACCGGGAGTCCAATCCAAGAGGGGTGTTTGTTTCCATGTTTTTTTTTTTTTTTTTCGGGAGAGTGAATGCATGGGAATGTGTCACCTGTCACCCGTCACCTCTTCCAGCTGTCGTTGGCGTGTAAATGCTCCTTGTTTTTCCTCACGAACATGCCAACCAATCGCTTCATGTCGGGAGACGGTCACTTTTTTTGCACTTCAGGAATCGACCTCCCACAACGTGGCGCGGGTGCCCGTCTGATGGGCCTTGCGAGATGAACGACCCTGGGGGCGGGGTCCAGGGTAGTTGTTTTTATTGTTGTTTGATATAGACGTTCAGGACATTTCGGGTTTGAGACGAAGCTCATCTGATGCTTTCAGAGATGCCGGCCCAGCTACAGGTCAAGATTGCGGTGGGCATTCCGTATCAAAGTGTACGACACGGAGAATTGCAAAACATGTGAGACAGAACATGCGAAGATGTTTGTTGGCCAAACAAAGATGATTATTGTACAGTATATATATATATATTATTGTATTATTTTGTGAACAACATCTTCGTTCTTCATGAACCTGTGCTCAACCCTCTCACAACGCGATTGCTCACCATCCTCCCTTCTCGTCAGCTCGGGAGGTCAGAGCAACTTCGGTACCCTTTGGACAGCGCGACCTTCCCAATCCGGATCTATCCGATCGGAGAGGACGCCGCTGGTGGACGCAAAGGCGGCCGCTTTCAATCCCCAAAGGAAACAACCCGTAGCTTCTTGTTACTAGTAATATATATATATATAATGGCCTCCAACGCACTAGCGATGGCCTCCAATCTACTTATTAAGAGGTTCCACCCAGACAAGGACAGATTTCTGTTTCGTCCCCGACAGATCTCTGGATGAATCTAATAGAAATGTTCAATCCTCAAGGACAACCAGTAGAGATTCCTGACCTAGGGCGCCATACGGTACCATCGTGGGCTTTGGTGGCAACACGGCTTAGTGATGGTTAGGTTAGTAGTAAAAGTGATTCTTTAGTACATCCAAAAGGACATGGAAACCTATCATGAAATCACTATCCAGAAGTCGAGGTCCAGCCAACAACGCTTTGGAACACGATGGGTATAGCTGCTTGCTGATCCACATCCATATCTCCAACCAAGGTACATGGGTGTATGTACATTACATAATACTATTTTTGAACAGGGAGACCTGCCAGTTCGACCTTGTGGAGGGAAACAGTTGACCCAGCCAGGGCCAAGGGGGCCTCTCCCAAAATCCACACCCACATGGATATCAAGGATCCAAGTAGGTCGCGGTCAGAGCCAGGAGCCAGCTGACGAGGTAGATGATCCATGGTCTTCATGCTCAGAGTCTGGAAGCCCAGTGGTGGTCTTTCGGAGGTCTGGGCGGGCTTTGCCCCCGTCGCCGAAAGTCTGCAAGCTTTGAATGTCTTTGAAGTTTTTCTCCCTCAATAAGCTGTGGTTGTCTTCTTTCCACAAGTGTTGCATCCAAATCTTCCACGCAACATGCGGTCCTTCAGAAGGCCATTTCCACCCGATCCGCGCCGCCGAGCCGCCGCCTCCGCCGAGCCGCACGGGGGAAGCGGCTGTGGCGCGGCCTGGAGCCTCCGATCGGCGCAGCCCGGGCGGCGCAGCCCGGGCGCGAGGCCTGAAGATGGTGATTTGCTGGATGGCCCTGCGGTCCGGGATCCTCACGACCGACCTGGAGGACTCGAGGACTGGTTGAAACACCACTGCCACGGTCGCGACGGTCAATAACAACACATGGGGTCTGACGTCACGACGAATTAGGAGCCCAAAAAGGATGGCCGTGGTTGTTGGGTCCAGTTGTTGGGGAGGGAGGGTACTCCTAGATTAGATTCTATATTGAACATTGAAAAGGGTGATGTTGGAGGATGAAGCTTCCCAGTTTGCCAGTTGTGCGAGCGGGGAGAAAAAGGGCACAGCCAGATGCCACTGATACCATCTCAATGATTGGCAGTGGAGCCTCAAAGCGGGTAGTCTCGAAATTCATGACGGGCAGAGAGAAAACGAACCTGTCAGCATACCTTTCAAGTCTGTCAGTTGGAGGCCATCGCTCGGGACTCGAGACCGGAACGAGGCCGGTGTGACGACCCTCCTCTGGTGCCGCAGCAGCTTTGAGAGGCACCTGTTCGCTCACAGTGGGAAATAGTTGATGGTCCCATCCATGACTCGCCATGACTTATATACATAAGATTACATAATTAACATGATGAGGGATGGTCCAAATTGCAATTTTTGTTGGTTGCTGTTGCATGGACGTGGGGAGATGCACGGAATTGACATTCTTACTCATTGACTGACACCAGCAATCCTCTCATTGACTGGGGCGAAGAAGTTTGCACATCCCTTTGCTGAGCAAGCCACACTGGACTGTCTGTGCCATGCTAGCTGCTAGCTTGCGCAAGTTGAAAGTGTTGATAGAGTATGATTCTGATAGAGCTGTTTTGCTTGGTTGGTCCTGCAATCAAGTTGAGTGTTCATGATCTTGAACGGGAAGCGCCTGAGGGTTGCTTCCTGCTGATTTGTTGCATTTTGCATTGTGCACCACCCTTCACTCTCTCAAAGATTCATTTGAAGCAGAAGCCATCCAGGAAGTCGTGCCACATTGCTAGCACATGCTAGCATAACACTTAACATGACTTAATTATGGATGGTGAGCTATTGCACACGCCAATCCCTGCAGAGGACTTTGTGCAAAACCCCTCGTACCCCGTGACATCTTCGTCACAAAGATTTGAGGCTGCTTGGAGAGAAGACATAGACTTCAGAGGCCTTTCGCTTCTGATGAGGCACTGGCCACAGATGAGATCACAGCTCCAGTCAGCACAGCAAAAGCTATAGAGTGTATGCATGGAGTGTGAACATGGCTGGTTCCATGCATGAACAGAACACGTTTTTGTTGGTTGAGTGTTGAGCCTCCATGAGCCGACATTGACTGTCACAAAGGGGATGGACCCCTTGCATTTGCAAAGGAAAGAACATGAAATCGATCAATGCAGCGTTGAGGTGACGGCCGGTGCCAGATTCTGCCAGATTGCACGACTGATTGCTGAGACCAAACGAGCAACCATTGGTTGCTGAGCTGTGCCATCCAACCAGGAATGCTCATGCAACTTCATTGGCAACATCCTGATGGGCCTATGGACAACATCCCCCCGTTGGGAATAGATGAAATGGAACTGGTGGGCGAGCAGTTTTTTGGTAGGTTGAGGCTGAGGTCTAACCTAAACCTCGCAAGCATCATTCATTTGCTGAAATGTCCCTGTAACCATGCTACCGCGCTTGCTTTTCAGAGAAGACTCATTTGAGGATGATGCTCACTCAAAGAGACGGTACACTGGTGTGTTTTGACGACGACCCCTAGTGTAATGTATTCTTTGGGGCACTTGTTCATTGGATGGCATCCTGGGGCGGAAGTGCTCTAACTTCGAAATCGGCAGTGGAGGCTTCCAGGGGAGAAAGCTCATCAAAATCCAGCTGTTGGCAGAACATCGGACGTGTCTCCCAAGCAGGATCGTAACGATGGCGGGATATATCTCTAATAGATTCAATAGAATAGATTGGAGCCCAGGCGCCATCGCCCGAAGACGACATGAAGAGGATTGAATCCACCTCAATCACCCCGACCTTGCTAGATGCCCTGGTCGGGGAACCTCTTGAACAGCTGGATTTTGATGTCGCAATGTGAATGCTTGCAGTGCTGCGCTGAGTGTCTAAGAGGCCAGTGTCGTAATGAGAACATGGGCTTTAGGCATTAGCAGACAATTTATGATGGTTATGGTATTTTTGGTGAATCTGCTGGTGCTCACTGAGCCACTAGGCTGCCAGGGATCCAGAGTCACATGATAGATGATTTTGGCTTTGACATAGGTCTTAAATAATTAAAAGACATTAAAACACAAAACAACATATTTTAGACCCTATAAGATTGTTTTTTGGGCTGCAGACACAAGTTCAGTGTGACATAGCTGCGATGCGGTTTTTCCAGCAGATTTAGCTGGATTTGGAAAAAGCAGGACTCGCCTTCTTTGGTGAAACGAGACTTCCAACAACTCCAGCTATGGCATGTTGCCCTTTCGCATGCTTTATTATGAAGTGAGTGCTTTGTGCTGTGATTTTGCGTTTGGACATGCTGTATTAGGCCATATATTAGGCCTGTTAATTCCTTGTGTTTGCCACTGTCCTACAGATCAATAAGTAAATTTGGGCGGACAAGAGCCATTGCATTACTTTCTTCACTGAATTCTGATTTACGAACTCGAGTCGCCCCCTCCCGGGGAATCTTTTTTCACGATTCAGACACACCACAGCAGTTGGCTGTTCTGAGTGCAAGCGGACAGCGGTGGAATTGTTCTTTCACCCTCCCTACAATCATGGAGACTGACCAGGACCCCCTTGTAGAAATTGTAGAGGAAAATTGTCTTGCAGGGGATTCCAGGGGCCTATGTTCCACTTCGATGATCGTTTCAGGGAGTGTAAATGTGTGATTGTTTGTCCAAAAGTTGACATTCAATATCTGGCCGTCGTGCATTTGGTTCATTTTGTGGGCCAGCCACACCTTTTTTGGGTGGGTTTCGGTTTTCGATTCGCATTTTGCCCGAAAGCTTGATAAATCTTTCATGTATCTAGAACTTTGTCCTTTCACTGTTGTTCACATTCATGTGAGCCCTTTCTTTGCAGAAACTTGATCCAGCCAATGCTTGCAGCGGACAGAAAGCTGAAAGCTGGCAGTGTGTAGTTCGAATCGGGAGACCTCACAGGCGGTCTGACCGACCCCAAAAGGAACACAGACCCCGGTCTTAAGATACACATCCATTCCATATCACTCAGCCGGATGATGTGTCTTTCTGACCGAAGAGGCCCGACCCACTGAGCTCCGCCGGCACCGCCCGATGGGACGGGATCTCGACAGCAGGGGCGTCCGTGACGCTGACGGCGCCGCAACGATTTAGCCGCAAGCCTTGATGGACCAGACGACAGGGGTGCCAACGAATGGCATCCATTTGAGACATCCATGAGACATGAAAAAAACATGGAATGGCGACATCCAACGTGTGGGACAACTTGGAATCATGTTCAGTTGCGGTCTACAACATCCACCAAAAGATGAATCGAAGCCACCTTCGGCTCCGGCTGCCAATACATAATGGTTTGCCCCTGCCCATATGACTGCATCATCCTGCATCAGTTGTGAATACAAATCTCAGATGTTTTGTTATGCCAACCATCCAGTTTTGGCAGAGTCCATCACTTAACCACGTGTAGTCCAGGTCCAGCCGGACCTCAGAATTCAACCCACAAACAGCTCCCGTTCCTTCACCATGCGAGAGGAGGTGGGGCCCCGTGCTGGTCGCGGAACCTCCGCCTGACGCTCCGACGGAGCCGGTTCGGGCCACGCATGCGACCGGACCGGCCGGTAGGGTGCACTGATTCACCATGGCGTTTCTTCTTCGGTCGGTGCGAGCTGATTCACCATGTCTGAAGTGATTGAGACATGTTGGAACACCGGAATTGGAGTTGGTTTGAGATGCGGACGGTGGGCTGCAGATGTACTTAACAGGTCCGCACTGAAGCAAAGTCGGCAGCGTTCAAGGTTCGCGCTTTTCTCCGGAAGGGGCGAGCTGCCCGCAGCACGCCAGATGCATGGAATGAGGTGATTTCACCAAATTCAGGGTGGATTAGACCAAACATAAGAGGCCTTTCCTCAAGGTGCCACATTATGTCCGTTCCACTGGCAGCATTTGTACAGCTTCCATACGCACCCGGGTTCGGTCACCACGTGTGATTGGCCATGTCGGAAGACGTTCGCGCGGGGCCACAGAGTGGGAATCATGGGAATCGTATAGCCTTGCATGCTGAAGACATGTGCTTTATTTACCTGGACCCCCAAGGAGTGGTTGATGGACACCCCTTGACCTCTAAGGGGCTATTAATGGACACTCTTTCCGTGGTGCTGGTAGACCTTTCTTTTCCTTTTCTTTGTTTCTAATAGCAAAGGTCTCCGTCTCCAACCTCATAGCGATGGCGATGGCATGCGATGGCCAACTGACCAGTGAGTTTTCCTCCAACTGAAGGGCCAACCACGAAGGCAAAGAAGACCTTCTTTGCCAATACTTATCTCACCAAATTCCACTCAGACCCGATACTCTTGCCTATACAAGTCTAATAATTTTAAGTATATTTAAAATCAAATATTATCCTATTCGCATGTATTTACAATATGCAATGAATCAAACAAGGATCATCCGGATGTTTAGCTTTGGTACGTTGATTCTTTGGGACACCGCGACCGATGCTCCAAGGAGCCAGTGAAGAGAGCCAGACCCTGGCATCTGAGGCACGGCGCCTTTCGGGCATGTCCTGGGGCGGCCCTGCCATGTCTTCTATGACCAAAGCTTCAAGCATGACGGACAGCTTCTGTGATCACTGACCACATGTCCACGTTCTGTTTCCATGTTTTTGCCTGCAACCTCGCAGATGGTCTGTACATGCTTACTCCTTTTCTGAGCGTCTTTTTTGCAGTTCTCTTCCCTTGAAGCTTTCAAGTTTGTGCATGCGCACATGATGTGCTTCCCCACACATCTATATCGATCTATATATTATATACTCCAAAAGGGTTTGCCGAAACACGACGACGAGGCCGAGCGGCCCGGACCTGCATGGCTCATGGGAAAGCTTCGGCCAGACAAGGACCCGGACCTGTTCCGCTCCGAGACTCGGCTCAGCGGCCAGGGTTGGAGGGCTGGTGAAGGAACTGGACAGATGTTGATGCGCATGGATGTGCGCACTGGACAGGTGGGATTTGGGACCTCATACTCTTCTTCCATCGGCATGCTGGAAGACACCGTCTGGTGGGAGTCAGCCAGGTTTTGCGTTTTTTCTCGAACACCGATCCAGTTTTCCCCCAAAACTGGTGGCTGATTGTGCCAAAGTTGGCGGCGGATCTTCCCAACATCGGTGGCTGATTTGCCATAGTCGGTGGCTGAATTTTGCCCAAAGTCACTGGCAGTCGGTCGAGTCGGTGGCAGATTTGTCCGTTTCTCCTGAAAGCTGAGCCTGTTTTGCCCGAAAGCTGAGCCAGTTGTTTCTGAAAGCCGAGCCTTTTTCTGAAAGAGAAGTCTATGGCGAGCAATGCTAACTCCATTCCCATTGCATGTCCACTTGAGATAGTTGCAGCTTAAGCTGAGGCGGACCTTTCAGACACAACAGCAATATCTATTCTGTTTGCCGACTTCTACGTTACCGCGGGGAGGGAAGGTCAGGTCGAACATATGACCGGAGCTGCGAAGCTGTGAGAAGCCGTTCTCGCTGCGCGTTTCCCGCGAATGGAGCGGGGGAAGCTGTGAGAAGCTGCGAGTCTGCAAGACCTGGATCTGTGAGACCCCTACTGCGAGGGCCCCTTCTGGGAGACCCCTCCTGCAAGACACTTCTGCGAGACCTATTAAGTGTTGGTTTAGGTATGTTTTGGGAGACGGGAGACCATGGAAGCCTTTTACTTCCGATTCCGTTTTCAATTCGAGCCAATTGGTGTGTGGCCTCCAGGACAGGACCCCACAGCCTAGGGTCAGCAGCATTGGCAGCAGCACTGGAGCCTTAGCTGGTGAGGGTTGGTCTCCGGAATTCGGGGCTCACTCAAGGGTATGGAGAAAATCAGGAAATGCCCTGGGCACGTTCATGGGATGTGTTGTTCAATCCACGCGGACATGTTCATTCCTGCAGTTGAACCGTACCGAGTCACACCCGGCGGTCGGAAACGGGATGAAGCGTTCCGAAATCGACCCAACGGTTGGCCAAACGGAAAGCCATTGTGTTTGGGGATTACTTTGTTGAGGAGTTTGCATGATGAATCGGCAATACAAAAACTTACAATACACCTCGAGGTCACTTCCAAAGTCTTGTGAGATGCCTTCTTATAGCGAAAACATAAATTTGTGCGTTCACAGTTAGTGTTTCTTTGCTTCCAAGCTATTGCCTATAGTGGATGTGTGCATGTTTCGCCATGCTTCGCCATGCTTCGCCATGCTTCGCCATGCTTCGCCACCCGAAGCGAGGCACGACAGGCACGACCTCAGGCTTCGTGAAGATGACCCCCACCGACGCTCAAAAGAAATGGAACTCCAAGATGAGGATGAGCGGCGAGGCCGAAATGTGGTGCGTTGCAGCGATTGGTTCGAAGAAGATCTTGACGGAAACCGGACACCTTTTATTTTGGACAGTGTTTGGGTGGGTTCCTGGCGGCAAAATTGGAATTCGTCCAACACATGGGTTGCTTGTGTAGCAGGTAGTCTGTCTGTATATTCTATAGGGTTAGAGTTAAGTCTGCATCAATCCTGACCCTTGCACCATGATGGCATGTTGTATGTACCTTGAAAGGGTTTCCAGAGGGTCGGAGTGGACGTTGCTTGGACTACTAGTTTGGTGACGGGCCTCTTGGAGCTGAATGACACTCCATGTTACTGAATCGGGTAGGAGCCGCCGCCCCCATAATGCTCAAAGTCTTCTTCGAGCCTGATAATGAAACACCTACACAAACCTCAAACCTACTTACTTTATCTTACTTGGGCTTTGCCAAGTGTTTCGACCAGATGGATCAACGCGGATGAAGGAGGTTGTGCTATAGCTGTGGCCAGAAGTGTGCCCCCCGTATAGTGTCACCTCAAGAAAGATGGGATCCTGCCGGGTTCACATGCTGGGGGTTACCAGTCTTTGTTGATGTTCCGGTCTTTTTCTTTGCACCTTTCGATCCTCATATACAGTATAGATCCTGTAATATCCTGTATATACAGTAATATATAGTATAATATACTATATTATATATATAATATCAATTATATAATTGAAACAAATACATATGTATCATATTAATATGTATAGTTGGTTTGGAATGCTGGAAGCCCTGACCTGGGCAGGTAGACCTGGAAGTCCTGCAACACTTCTGATGACAAGCCACAGGAATATGAAAACACCTCACAGCATTCAAACAACTATATTGTTTCAACCCAAATGCCCCCTCCCCAATTCTCCGTCTCCGAGAGCTCGGCGCCCCTCCTGTGGGGTGTTTGTCTCTGATGCAGGCCTTGGACTGCCTGGAGAAGGGATGCACCGAGTGCGACACCAACTTCAGCGACGCCAGGTGGGCCCCCGAAGGGTGTGGAGGGCGACGCATGGTGTTCTTTTTCTCTTTTTGTTTAATGGGTCGTATGGACTGGCCTATAAAAAAAAACGAGTGGTTTTCTCATAGATGAACAGGGTGCGGGACTCTAGGAGAGTACCCCACATACGGATACATATATATAGTGAGTAAGTCACAGATGTATATGTTTTAGTGGCATGCAGTTGATTATGTTGATTTTTGTTGGACGTGTTTCCCATGCTGCCTTTTGTTCCTGTTTACGGTGAATCGTCGTAGCTCTGCATCATTTGAACAGAACCACGTGAGTCACGTGGATGGGAATTGACTGTTGACTTGGCAGGTGTTCAGACACCGTGTTGACCTTCAAGGACGTAAGTTTCGAGGTGAGAGAAGACAGAGAGAGAGAGAGAGACTCTTTCTTGGTCATTGAATGCTCCATAAGACCATCAAATGGCATAATATGGCGTCATGGTTGCTTGTTGCAGACCACTCACTTCTATTTGTGTATTTGAATTTAGCTTATGAGTTTGGTCGCGATGGTTTTTGCAGAGAAACAGTAGGAGGTTCAGACAAACCAAAACCGTGCAGCGGAGGTCAAACAGAGCAATGGCGAGAGGAAAGAAATCTTGGATGCTTGGCCCGCAATAAGCCTTGGGTCCTTGTGACATTCCAGGATCATCAAACCATATATTAAGTAGGTTTGTTTTGGGACAACAAACGTAATGCACATAATGTTTGTAATGACAAGAAGGGACATGTATTTGACAGTGCATGGCCCACCACCCCATGCCGCTCCAAGACTTGCCTGTTTATTTCCCAGGCAAGCTTAAGAGATTCATCATCGTGCAAGGCCAAGCAACATGCCATGGTTACCCCCATCATCTCCAACAACCTTGGACGGTCAAAATGACTTCTTCGCCCAGTCCACCCAGCCAACCGGCTTTCCTTCGTTTCGGGGCAGCGTCCCACCCAGCGGTTGCGGCAGGCGCCGATCTCGGGACACTTTGCCTCGGGACAGTTGGTCGCCATCATGGGCCCTTCAGGCTGCGGGAAAAGCACTCTCCTAGTCACTCGGTGGTGAGCAGGTGGGAGCACTCTCTGCGGGTCGAGGAAGGGAGCCGCCATTTCATGTGGGCGGTGCTTGCGGTGCTTGGCAGCTGCAGAGATCCAAGCAGCACACGGTGGGTCGAGCCAATGAGTCAGGTTGGTCGCCAAGAATTAGATTTGTGCATTGTGGATTTTGAAACCGTGAGTCGTGAACTTTGCACAAGGTGGTCGAAGTTGTCACGGCTTTCAATCGTTCATTGATTGTTTGGTTCGGGTCCTCTGAATCAAAAAAAGCCGTTTGGTGTGTCCCATGGAGGTTAAATCTAGTTTCTGGTGGTTCGAGCAGTGCACACAGGAGATGCCAAACAGATGGAATGAAAGACGTTGTGAAATGCCTTCCTGGTTGCCCTTGTTGGAAGGGCGGCGGCAGCCTGATGCGCAATTCAAAAGACCGTGACAGCCCCGAAAGCCGAGGATATTTTGGCTGGAAAGACTCTTGGATAAAGCGTGATTTGAGTTACTTGGGTTGTCGAGTCGTAGAGTACAGTATATCCCAACTGCATCCCAACTGCGCACATTTATATGGTAACGACACAGATTCCTTCATCAATAGTATCACACAGATATATATATATATATAATATTAAGAGAGAGAGAGAGAGGGAGAGCTATCTAATATATATATATACCTGCAACCTCGTGGTTGCTTTTTTTGATCGGTGGTTCAACATACCTTTATTTAGGTCTGTGAACCACATAAACATCCGCAATCGATCGAAATAAACATCCGCTTAAAACATATGTTCGAGAAAAAACGCCTTTGGCTCACCAATAAACGCCCTTAGCTTGTGTATAAACACCCGTGGAATATCAGAAAAATCAGAAAACTAGAGAAACGTCCGCAGACTCAAATATAAGGCTGTTACTCCAAAACATGTTTTTCACGCCGCAGATCGAAAAAAAGCACTCTGAGAAAGTTCCAGGTATAAAGAGTTTGAAGCAAACATGCTGATGTTAGTGGGACTGAAGCTTTTATTTGTTTGGGGTAGCAGTCAGAGACAGGAGCTGACTCATGACCATTGTGTTCTCCTCGTGTTAAGAGATTAAGTAGGTACAACTAATTGTGCCAAAAGACAATAACAAACACACATTAGGCCCCAAAAACTGGGGTGCAGGGGAGGAAAGACCAACACTCAGCTGGAATATATACAGTATAGTGTTACTGAACTTCAATCCATCACACAACTGGTGCTAAACATCGCATCCGGTGTCACGGTGGCGAGCCGCCACCGATGGAGTCGAGCGTTCAGCCGGTCGAGCTGCTTCGAGTTACATCGCCCACATGGCATCATCCCGCCTGCTCCATGGACGACACGAAAAACAAGAAGAAGATCTGAACATGGACCGACTCCGAGCTCAGAGCTGATTGCTTTCTTTTGTTAGGGCCATGTCTGATGCCATGTCTTCACCACTTTGGGACTCAGGAAGAGTGACCCGCATGGCGGCACCGTGCACTTCAACGGGCGTCCCAGGGACAAGCTCTTCCAGCGGATCTCCGCATATGTCCCTCAGGAGCCTGGATTGGATTCCTGCGGCGGGTGACAAGGGACTTAGTGAACATGCGGTGGACCAGCGAAGACGTTCTGAACGGAACTTGCGCCTCATGTCAAAAATTGCGCAGATGTGAGTTGTTTTTCATGCAACCGCCAGGCCGCCAGAATAATTAGGGAGGTTGTTCAGAAGGGACCCCCTTCTTCAACCTTCATTTTCCACCTTAAACCTGGCATATTGCACTGCAACAGGGTCCCTTCTTTGTTTAAGCCTGGCCTCGACACCAGCTGGGAGAATGCGGGGCCACGCGTGGCATAGTGGCCTGTTCAGACGAATTTCAGGCTTCTCCCTGGGCCTCTCCCAAGGGCTTAAAATCCAGCCTGGCGGTCCAACCCGTCCAACCCCTAATGCATTTCAGCTTGGCCAGGAGGATCAGATGCCCAAGTATTTGACCGTCACTGAGGCATGGCGCATGGCTTGTGCTTGTGAGATGAACGGAGAGTCCATGAAGTCCTTACCTTGTCAATTGCCTCATTCTACAACGGTCACTGTTCAGCGGGGTTTCTACCAAACATCATGAGGTTCTGAGAGAACATGAGTTTCTACCCTCACTGCTGCAAGTCACTTGGCAGTGTTGAACTTGAAGATGCTACCGAGTTTCTGAGTGAGTCTTCATGGCGGAAATATACAACAAAGCATAACAAAGCCATTTTGACACCTGGATTTTGCTGATGGCTCAGGCGGTGGAGTTTAATGGTATGCTGAAGCTTTGGCCGCAAATGGACTGTTGATCTCATTTCGTCCCGGTGGTTGAAAGCGCGTTGGACGTTTTTGGGTGTGGATCCCAGACACGACCTGTCTGGGACTGCCATAGGACTGCCGAGAAACGGCCAGGGGTGGTTGAAAAGGGGTCAATGTAGACATACATTATAATGGAGTGTCCAGGGATAATGTGAACCACCGCAGCCGTCAAAGACCCCAGTAAATGATCAAATGAGGGCTGCGGCCGTCGAAGTGTCTGTGCTCAATGAAAACACGGTGTCCCCTCGACCGAGAAGTTGGAGGTGTCCGAGCGTTCCGTCTCCGAATTCGTTGCCCCACAAGAGAGACCGTGTCGGTCCCGGAGGCTCATCCTCCCAACAATCCCAACTCACTTTCACCAACATGTGGACCTTGCTGGATCAAAGTCGATGCCACGGCCGAGATCGGCGATGCGTGTGCCCCCCGAAATTGATGTGGGCTGAGAAAAGGCTACGCAGGTGAGAAAGAATGAGAGAAGAAAACAACGGAAAGCATCTCGAACTTTCACAAGAGTCACAAGAGCTAGGATTGTGCAATCCACATTGCCGGTGATGCACATCTTGGCTCCGACGTTTCTTTTTTATGAGCCTGAACCACGTCAATAAGCAAATGATCCTGAACAGATATCCATGAGCTGTGCGCCATGAAATTCATGCTGGTGGCGACCAAAGGACTCTACCCGGAACACTGTCTGGAGTGAACAGAAAGTATGGCCTCAACGCAAGGGACAGCTGAGTGAGCATAGCACAGCGGAAGTTCGGTCCACGGCTGAGGCTGTTACCATGTTCATCGGCGGTGAATTCTTGGAGGATACATCAATGTCAATGTCCTTTTAGTCTTTCGAACCACTGGTACTGGTACCTACTGGATCCACTGGGATATGTCGCTCTGGAGGCTCCTGAACTCTTGGGTCGCACGTCCTGCATTGGAGGTCGACGTGGGGCAGAAACGAGCGCAGAGAGAACCGGTGCACTCTGCACGAACCTTGCGACCATTTTGGACGTCGAAAAAGCACCCGCGGGTGCGCCCCGCGGCCGCGGCTGCGGCTGCGTCCGAGGAAGTTTGAGCGGCCGTCCATGGTGAGCAAGAGTATGGCGCAGCAGTGGATCCAGCGACGTTTGGAGGTCTTAGGTCTTGATCAAGTGAAGGACCTCGCGAGACCGACCCGGCGTTATCCGACGTTTATTTTTTCCTGTTTATGTTGGTCACCATCTGGTGCTGCGGCTTTTGGGTAATACGATGAGTCCCAAAGGGTTCGGTATGGTTCGGGAAGCAGATTTCAGACTTTTGTGGGGAAGAGGGTTTTTTCATGTTGACATTGACATGTTTGGATGTGCAGGACCATCCTGGGGTGTCTAATTATGGAGATCCATAAGCAGTGAAGGGTAGCCCATTGTTGTACGTCAAAAAGATTGGTGGTACTGTAAATATGCATATTATAAATCAACAGCGTAATAGGATCTAACGAGCTGCTTTGCTTTCGTTTATACCTTCGACTTTTCAACCCTTTATCTGGGAATGACTACCCCAGTTGACTCGAGTGGACTACTTGTTATTTTGTTGCGAGAGGTTTAAATTCAATCATGTAAGGAATGGAATGTAGATGAGCAAGTTTTCTGTTATCCTTTTGTGCACTGAAGAACGTCTCCAGTTGATTGGGATTTCCAATCTGTTTTGCTGTACCTATATTTATGGTGTTCCTTGTCAAAACCTTTTCACTAGCAGCAGGGCATTGTATGCTATTGTACTTTTACCTGTTAACACCTGATATATCCCAACGAACTCCCATTTGGCACCTGACTTTTGAAAAGACACCTACAGCCCAACCCCTGTATCTACGCTGAACCACAAAAACACCGAACCTCTAAGCACCCAGTGTAGGCCCAGCCGGGAATCACGTAGAAGACGCGCAGTGTCCTGCGCTGCAAAGGACACCTACATCGGAGATGGCACCTCCTTGCGTGGAATCTCCGGTGGGCAGAAGCGGCGCCTGAGTTTGGCCAAGCGCTTGGCGAGCGGCTCACAGGCGAGGACGCGCGACGGGTCACAACGACCGTCCTGAAAGAAGAGCAGTGACCTGGTGGGTGTGCATCCAGTGGGTGGATGTGACAGGGGCACTCCTTGCTTGGGCACTCCATTGAATGGTCTTTGGCACTTTGGCACTCCTGGAAGATAGTTTGGGCAAGTGCTCCAAAAACGTGTTCTTTGGATCAGGCGACAGGTCGGGAACCCACAGACAGACAGACAGACAGACAGACAGACAGACAGACAGACAGA